TGGGTGGCCGCACATCTAACCCCAATAGGCCATCCGAAATTACGAATGGTACAACCCAGAAAATCCCAACAGTCACTCGAGCTAGTGCATACAAGAGACAAATTCTCATCATAGCAGCTCTCAAAGGCAACAAGTATCTCCTTAGCCCGTTCCAAGGATCCATAGTCCCCAACACGATACTTCACAAAAATCGTGACGTCATCAATAAGTATGACGCCATGTACCAAACGACGATCATGTCCCAAGGAAGCAAGGAAAGAGAACTCCGAAAAGATACACAGCAAGCAAGCAATAGCAGGGCTCGACGGCTTGCCCATTGGAATACCAACACCTTGTTTCAGGATCATGCCACAGACTCGCACAAAAGTATGATCCAAATCAAACTTGACGAAAACCTTAATCGTATCAAAGCTCACAGATTTTCATCCATCATGCTTCCTACCTCGCAATAGTTTGGCGTCATTTTCTCGGTCTTTTAGGAGAACTCCATCGATGCCCTTTGTCCTAAAAAAAATCCAAAACCCAGTCCAAAGTATTTAGAATGGAATCGTGAGGCAGATTACAAAACATTTCCTTAATGTGAAAAACTCTGCTCAGTAACGCCTCGTCTTTCGTCACACACTTGTTAATCGCATTGAGGGATTCAACCAACAGGTCCGTACTTTTTAAATTGAAGTTCGATTTTCTCGGCAATTCCCAAATCAACACATTAATAGCCCGAGAGATCTTTTTGCAGGCACGAACACTGCACTCGGGAAAGGAGGGGCAAATAGGCCTTCATTTCCCAACATCTTTATGCTTCGGGACAACATAAGCTTTGCCTATTGACCCCTTCCTATCCCATTTGGCCAGACCCTGCAACCTGTAGGAAACATAAGTCAACCGAGCCTGTTTCAACAAACTCTCTTCATCGCTTTCCAAAGGACAAAGCCCATCATTATAGCAGAAGAGCGAATTCATGCCATCCTGATAAAGTAGCGGACAACACACCAGGGTGTCGCCAGGATTATGATCAATAGTTACCCGGACCAACCCCTCCAATTTCGCCAGCCATTGGTTGACCTCCTCTTCAGTGCATGCCGTTTCCACGACCTCCCTATTGGTCACACATCCAGCAAGATCAGCCCGAGGAATGCATGGGGAAACCAAAGTCTAGCTCATCCAGTGATGCAGCAATCTGCCTTCTCAATCTATCAAGAATGTCCCTAGTAGTTGGCTTAACAACATTACGATTATTCTTCAGCCAGAAAGGAGTATCATCCCAATCGTTAAGACGAAAACACACGTGCCCGTCCCTACGAGGAAATACATCAGAGCATCCAGAACATGTGCACTTTGTGGCAATCGTCAGAGCCGCAGTCCGAAAGTTAAAGATACGATCACCCACGTTCTTATTCTTCAGCCAAACAATACGCATACGTCTAACAACCATCCACTTCCATTCACTGTCCGCCTCTGCATCCATAACTAACTTAGAACAGGCCGGTCTAATTCCAGATTTACTCAACCTTTCGTTGTAAGTGACCCTCACCGCCAAGCGTCGCCTGACGTTGAACCCAAACTTCCGACGAATAATCCTGAAAATAATAACTCGGAGCTGAGACCTACTTTTCTTTTTCGAAAAACTCCTAATAGTCGAGTAGGTTGTTACCAGAACGGGAAGCTCCCAACACAGTAGCTCCCTCCATGTGAACGATTGAGACAGAAAACCGAACAGCGCAGGTTTCAAGACCAAGGCGCGAGACATGAAAGGTACAATAGCTGAGATCACAAAGTGCACCTAGGAGTGAAGCATACCCCTCCCCTTCTTCAGCACATCAACGTGTTCATTGGTTTGAATGAGAGACGACCCGTACCTCCGCTTAATTAACTTCCAATTTTCAGCAATTTGATCTCCCCCTTTACATGTGATCCTGACAGTCGAGAGTCTATGCTCAACACAATAATCCAAGATGGTAGTCAAGCGGATAGAAGCGATACCAACGGATGAGAGAAAGGTCAGAGAAGTATGATTTTTTGCCAACGAATCAATGTCAGCCCGGTTCCTCCTGCCTTGTTTAATGCGCTCCCTTTTTCCAAGCCTTCTCCTGTTCGATTTTCGTGGTCTGTCACGACTATTCAAATACGGGCACAACTGCCCGATCAAATTATTCTCAAGACGGAGCAGATCATTCTTATCACAACAGCACAGTGGAATAGCAACGTAAGAACCAATTTGACAACGTCTCAGCCAGGAATAAAACTTGTGGTTGTGTTTACCGCCCTCTATCACATTCAGATTAGATGCACGATACACATGCTCGTTCCATCTAGCCGGGGGCGACCTAGTTGTAGATCCCACATACAAGTGGCGAGACCATGGAGAAAGAAGCACATAGACGAGAGGCTCTTCGCATTTCTCAAAGTTAAACCCATCCAAGATAAGCTTCAGAATATAATCCTTCACTTTCAGGAACCAGGGAATTTGGTTGAGGAGAACTAGCCTGATCATAATAGCACGAAAATACGCATTAAATAACTGATCCCGTAAGAAGAAAGAAGAGGAGTCGCAATCCGATACATCAGAGGAGCTAGAGACAAGGCGCCCATCAGCAGGGAGAGATGAGGAGGAAGAAGACCCACCATTAGCGTGCCTCGTTCTACACTCCTTAGCAAGAGACCAAAGATAGGTCACGTTCAGGACAACACCCTAAAATTCGGCCGACTGCTCATCCTCCGTCTCCTCGTGACTTACCTCGTGGAAAGTGTCATCGCTGACTTCAACGACAGGGTCTTTCTGCTTCGCACTCTGTCCTTTCTCAGAAGTCTCTCCAAAGATCTTCCTCGCACGTGCCTCCGCAAGCTCAGAAATGGTTTCTTCAACCTTACCCAGCTTAATCCCTTCTTCCTTGCAATACACCTCCAGACCAGCCTTCCTAAGCAATCGCAACTGTTTTTTCCGCTCCTCGACGTATTCAGTCCGGTTGTTAATATCCCCCATGTTTCGATTACCAACTGAGACCCCTCTGATCCTCCCCGGGGTCGTTTTTTGGCCTCTCCTAACCGACCGAATTGCCACCTCCTCCAATCGTTCTTTGAGGTTAGTACCCCCTCCCTTCCTCTTATCCCCACTAGCCGTCAGCTCGCTCATCCTGGCCTCCAAATCCTTCACCTGCTTTTCAGCTTCCATTCTTTTCAACTCTATTTCCGCTCTCTTCTTCTTAAGTGCCTCAGCCTCGAGATTAGCTAATCGGTGTAGAGTACTGAGATTCTTGTACTCATCCTTCCATTTGTTAACCTCCCTCAGATTATCGGTCCACCTCGGCTTAGGAGTTCCTCGATCGGATGGTTCAGGAGTGTTAATGGCAGCGCTACCTCTTTTGTTCCCAGGCCATAGCGCTTCAGACTTCCATTGATGATTGGCCTCCGCCACCACCCGCTCATTCTGCTCTCGTAATGAATTGACCTCCTTGCGTAAACCGGCAATTTCCTTTTTGAAGTTCGCCTTTACAATGGCCGATTGCTTTAATTCCCCAATCTCCGTCTTCAAAGCGAGAATTGCATTTTCACTGGTCTGATGTGTCGATGCCTGCTTACGTAGTTCGAGGATCTCATCTTGCAGATTGCCCAACCCAGTTGCTCAGTCTACGCTTCAACTCATCATTCTCCTTCCTCGGCCGGGTCAATTCGTCGACCTCACCGCCGTTGGAGGGGGTAGCATCAGTCTTCCCATTCCCCGACAAACCCAATGCTTCCAATCGTTTTTCTAAACGAGCCCCCATCTCCGCCTCCACCTGTTCTCTCTCCTTCTTCCATCGCAACACCTTCTCTTCCTCCTCTCTCCGTATTCTCTCCTTCTCCTGTTCGTCCTTCAATCTAGCTTCCTTCTTGGTGTCCTCCACGTACTTATTATATATTTTGTCCAACTTTTCTTGATTACGAGACCACCAACTCGGCCGGCCCTGGTTACCGTGGCTGGTCCCAACAGGAGGAGCATTCTGTTGGAAGTTCGTTGCAGCGGGAGCGAAAGAAGTCGATAGGGCCGAAGAGGAAGATAACTGATTTGGAGCCGGCAACGCTAAGAGCGCTCCGCCCGTAGGCACAGCATTAGCCCCCATAGCAGGCGGCCTACTCACAAACTGTCGATGCAAACACTCACGGACCCAGTGGTTCATCGAACCACATTGATAACAACCACGCGTCGGCGGTGCACCCGCCATCACCTCGAATTACCACACAAACGAAACACCGAAGTAAGTACTCGTCGAGAAAATTAATGACGAAAAAACACGAGCCACGCACATGTAGTACAATCTCTACGGTGGTTACAACGTTTGGATGACGGTGAGCAATTCACACACCATCTTATTGTCAAGAATTCAATCGACAATTCATCGGTGTCGACCGAAAAGGTCTAGTCAACAGTTACCACAGGGCAGCGACACAAAGGTCTAGAAGCAATCATTGACGACCACGATATCGACGAGCCAAGACCCACAAGA